TATATATATATAGTATTCTCTTATGAAAATTTTAACTATAAAATAAAAGTTATAATTCTAATTTGAAAATAAAAGGAAAAAAATAATTTTGTTTTACGTATTACAGAAAATAACAACTATTAAAAGTATTGGTTAATTTTTTAAAGAAATAATAAAAGGCTTCTCTATTAAAGTATTTATAGATAAACACTAAAACCAAGAATGTTGGTGTAGGGATTCGAACCTTGTACCTCAAGGACAAAATTATCTCTATAGCTACACTTCAACCATTAGGCCACCCAATGGTTTTGTGTATAATGTGGTGATTTAATACATTATATATATATAGACACACACACACACTTTAACGACTAAAACACTATTAAAGTATAGCGTTGTTTTATACTGCGCTATATATAGAATGACAACTTTTTTTTTACACTTATTAATGTTATTTTTGTCCAAAAAAAATAACATTTTGGTTCCGGACCGTAGTAAATAGTAGGCTCTCCTTTGCCCATGTCTAATTTAGGAATGATAGTACCACAAAAGGTAGATTTTGTTTATGATTAGTCAAACTACACATTTTTCCTTTCACGTCTACTCTTTCTTTCTAGGACCAGCGAGGTAATGTCTGTACTATGCACTGGCCCAATATTTAAGCTCACGCAAAATATATTTGTATCAAATAAATTTCATAATTCTGAAAATAGCACTGGTTAATGTTACCAGAGTGGAAAAAAAACTTAATAGTTTACGAATAAATCTTGCAAACTCATAATGTAATAAAGGAGTTGACTTTATAATACGATATAATATAGACTCTCTTCTTATAATAAAAAGTTCAAACAATTTATAAATAAAATTTCAACTGTATCAAACAAATTATTCTAGTTTAATTTGAACTTAAAGTTCTTATTTTTATATATAATTTGCTTTGGAGTTGTTTCTTGAAGATTTATCACTCATATTAAATATTATTTGTAACTTATCCATCTTAATCATTTGAAAGTTTAAATTATTGACTTGACAAGTTTATTCATGCCAAACAAAATATTTTTAATTTTGTTCTACGTAAAATTGATTAATTGATTTTTATATTTTTAGGTGAAGATATTGGGTATTTTTACATACTTTTCTCCTTTTGTTATTTTAGGAGTATTTTGTTGTTGTTTACAACTAAACTTTTTTTACCTATGGAATTACACTGAGTTTGTTGTTGTTACAACTAAACTTCCACGGATCCTTCTTTTTTTTATATATATAAAATAGGTATATATTATATCTCTAACTATTTTACTATCTGTTAACTTTAATATTTGATTAAGACCTCTCAAAAAGATGGATATTATTTGACCAACGTTAATCAATAAATTGTTATGTTATCAATTTGGTAGTTATCGTTTAAAGTCTTAATCACTTTGTATGTTGTCTATAACTTATTCAATCTTAATAATAGAATTTTTTTAAATTTTTGAATGAGACAAATTTACTGTAATGTCAAAAAAACTATTTTTATTTTTTTACTCTACATAAAGTTGGTACTTGATTTTTTAAATTTTGTTCAAGGTTGTTGGATTTACAGTATTTTTATATTAGTTTTTCTTTTTGTTATGCTAAGAATATTTTTTATTTTTTATAACTAAACTTGCATGGATCCTCCTATTCTTGAAACAAAATAAATTTATGTTATCTCCATATTCTTTGTTAACCCTGTATATTTTTAGACCTCTCACTAAGATCGATGCTATTTGTTATCATCTTGATTTAAGAAAATCTTAGAGTAAATTGAAGTTTTATTGAAGTAAATACTTTGTCATATCCAACTTAAGTTAAAAGTTTGTGATTGATTTAATCATAGTATCCTTTACTAAATATAATCTTTAATAACCTATTATTTGGAAAATATTTTTATATTCAAAATCTCACTTATTAATAGCACTCCTATATTCGTGTCTAAGATCCAAAAATTATTTAATGAAAAATCTCATAGCTATTCTCTCATAAAATTTGAAAAACTATATTCTCTTTGATACTCAATATCACTTCTCGTGTGCACTCTATCATTATAACATTTCAATAGAAAAGTACATTTTACATGAAAATAGTTTATACCATATTAACAAACTTTTTATTTAATGAATATTTATATATTCGTTACTGAAGTATTGTAATACAGTAAAACTTTTCTACAATAATCATCATCTATAACAATACTTTTCTATATTGGTCAAGTTTTATTGGGATCATTTTTTCATATTATGTTATAATATATATTTTATATAACAATACTTTACTATAGCTGCTAAATATATCGGAACAATTGAGGTTGTTATTAAAAAGTTTTATTGCAGTATAAGCATAATTTTTTGTTCAAATAGAAAATGAAAATAGAAGTTTGTGTAAAATTTTGAACTACATGGTAAGCGAATTGTGCATTTAGATTTGATTAAATTTAAATAATCTATTAGATATTAGTAACATAAACTGTTTAATTTAAATAAAAATTGTAATAAAAAATAACAATAACTAATGAAATATGAAATTTATAAAATTTTATCAGTTAATATATCCTCAGTGAAATAAATATATAAGAGTATTTTAAAGGTTTCACACACTAAACCTGCCATATTAACCAAGGAAGTTGGGCACAAGCTCCAACGCCGATGTTTCAGAGTAAAAGGCTGCATGAGAGACAGTTGTATTCAATGGCCCCATACGTTTTCAAAATAGAGGTACATCACGTGGCAATTTAGTCAAGGCAGTTCAAAGTTTGTAGCACTTTAATTTGTTTTAGCCAATCATGTTACCTCACTTATCCTGAAATGACCAAATTGTCCTTTAAATCCTAAGGAGACATGTCGTCCAGCTGTGTGCTAACTCCCTCTTATTAGATAGTAGAATCAGATGCTGTGATTTGAAGAGAAAGGGTTACAGTTAATACCGAAATGTCCCTCAACTAAAGAACATTATCCCGTGAGCATAGTCCTCAGAAGAAACTGATGACACATCTTAGTCATAAATAGATGAATAGCTGACGTTAAAGGCAAATGAAAGGTTACTTACTATAGAATGGCTAAATATCACAGAGTAGATTGTGTATGAATGTTCAAATCACTTTACGCATTCATCTAATAAGAGTGTAAGCTGTCAATGTCTGACTATTACTGATTTGGAAGCACCGAATTCTAGCCATACCTGAAACTTGGTGTCAAAAGCTAAGATCTAATAACCCCATGGCTCTCAACTTCACTTTCCAACGCTTAAACGATCAAAAGAACCACTCGATAGAACGGCTCAAGGCTTCTTGGTTTAGACAAGGAAGCCCAACCTAAACAGCAGCTACTAATAGCCATAAGAGATTGTGAAACATCTTGGTACAACTATATTAGATTAACTATATCAGCTAAACCAACAACTAATTTCGAATGATATGGCTTGTTAAGTCATCAGCCTTATCTACCCCTGTATGGCAATAATATTCATGTTTAATGAGATTTGATAAGTTTCTAGGCTGAAACCACAATAAGATCAAGTTCAACCATGAGAAAAACTAATGCTGAAAAAGGACAAATAAGTCTTATAATGAACATTCACCGGGAAAGAACATCTTATTTCAAATAAATGGTAGATAGAACTCAAAATACTTAGGGAAACAGACTTCAATAGTTTTCAAAATCTACAAACTAACACAATACCGCAACCATTTACTGGCTTACTGCTTCTTCAAGAGCAGGGGTCCAACGTTATCTCCAGTCTCCTTATTGTGCTTCACGTGGCTTCCATCACATAGAGGAAAAGTCCCAGACCTCCAACACCTGCACCCAAAAATCAGCCACTTACTAAAACTACCAACTAAATTCAATTCAATTCCAAGCGTTATTCTATTCCAAGATTCTAGCAAGAGTTACAAAAGGAAATCTGCACAATAATTAAAAGGGGGAAAACTATGACTTCGTTTTCCAGTTCAATGATCAGTTACTGTTATCATGTAGATAATAAGTGGTGCTTCTATATCCCTGTTCTCTAACCCATTAAAGGGAAAAAGGAGAGGGAGTAGGGAGAGAAGGTCTTCTTTCAGCATGGGCCTCTCATGTCACTCACATGAACCTCTTATGATCTTATCCAATTCTCAATCAATGAAGGCGGTGAAACAAATCCAACTAGAAAAACTCACATTGGACTAGCTCGAACTCGTGACGCTCACCAAGTTTCCCCATTGAAAGCACTGACTAATCCCAAGTCAAAAGTTGGAGAAACTCCAGTTTGTTTGGTTCTTGACTTTGTGTTCGTCACAGGATCTTTATTTGATTAAAATCTAGATATAGGGTATACAATATAGAACATGTGTTTGGTTTTAAATTGGACAAAATAATTTTCCAATAATACCTTTGGTTTATATATTATCACTTCATATAATCTCTATATGGTTACTATATCATATGTGATTAAACACAATTAACATAATACAACTAGTAAACTACAGTGAGAATTACTGCATAATTTGTGCAGGTAGTATTAATACAGAAACTAAAATGAACAAATTCCTGTTCCTATGAATGTACAAGAGTTGCCACTACAAAAGGAATCTTCAAATAAAATAAGATTGAAAAAAGATGAAAAGGTCATTGTTGGAAATAAAAGGCGATACAGCATTGTCGATTGACTCATCCCTCTTTGTGCCTTATCCCTGCGCGCAGCGATATAAGTATGTATTCACTTATCAACAGATTATTTAAATCCCTAGTGCTTCAGCTAACTTTTACTGGAATATTAAAAAATTGCAGGCTGCTGACAATTCTTGTCGGCATATTCCACAGGGCATTTGACTCTTTATGAGTATAAAGAAATCACGGCGCACAAGAATATAGTACTATAATAGTATAAATTCTTAGGGAAAACAAAAATAAAAAGAAGAACCTGCAGTAAGCAGTAAGAGGCTTAGAGAGTTCAGTGACGACAACAGAATCCACCACTTTTGCTTCGTCCTTCTTAATATCTGGGTTTATAGCTTCAGCCCTAACCACCACCATCCGCCTGGGCCTCGCCGTAAACGAAGATAATGCGCCGCCGCATGAGAACCCAGCTTGAATCATGCTTATAGCCGACGCCATTGTCAATTTTTGGTTTCTCGCTGTGGTTTCAGGTTGGTGAAAATCAGAAGGAAAGTATGTGAAGTATAAATAAAGAGGAGAAGGGGTGAAGGGGGTGACGAACGTGTGGCGACCACGGTCCTCTTTGTGATGTTCACAAATCGAGTGGAGCTTACCATATCCACGTCCTTCTTTCACGTTCATCGCCTTTGATTTCTCCTCCAAATTTTGTGATTTCTACTGAAAGGTGAATACCGAAATTAAAATGGAAATTTGCTTTGTAAAATTTTCAATGGCCTAAAGTCAGCCTTTGATCATAAGAGGTCTTAAAACAAAATTAACTAATTGTTTTTAAGCAATTTCTTCTTAATTACGTTCTACAATCCATTTAATATATCTTCGCTAAAATATTATTGATATTAGCTATGATTTATTAATTTTAATTTAAAAAAATTGTTTCAACTGAGTCAACATTAGAGAAATTGTAGATATTATTTTATGATATATATATATATAGTGTTCAGTTCCATATTTATGTAGATCAACGTATGGCAAAAAAGAATTATATTCAAATTCAAGAAAATCAATATGGAATTTCACTATTATATTACTACTATGTATAATTATATTTGTAAATTTTGGGGCCTTTAAAATCCTGGGGCCTAAAGCCACCACTTCACTGGCCTTACCCTCTAGTCGGTTCTAGTCACGAAAATAATTTCTTGCTTCTATTACCTTTTTAACATGTCCCCATGGACAAAATTATAAAAATAATATTCTTGTTATTATCGGAAAAGGATTAATGTGCCAGTGTCTCTTAGGCTCGTTTGATTTAGGGATTATTTATACATGAATTATAACTCATGAATTGACTATACAGTTATTAATAATAAAACCGCATTCAAAATTAAATTATGACAATTGTCCAACACCAAATTTTAGGCCGGCTACTAATTTGAGGCACAAGTGATGTGAGTGAAAGCTATCTAATATTATCTCAAAAACTAATTAAGTATATATAACTTTTTTGCACTATATATGGTTCTAGGTGGGAGGGGAAGGAAAGACGGGGTTAATTTCACTTATGGTTACTTAACTATGGTTCTAGGGGCTTGAGCCAAAATGACTTTTAAGTAGCAATATGAAAGTTTAGTTACTTTTAAGTGACAAAAAATAGTTGAGTGACTTTAATGAAATTAAAACATACTTGATTGACCATCAATGAAATTAACCCAAGAAAGATAGAGCGATATACTTATCTTCGCAATGTAAATGAACCTCTTTTCCTCTTATTTGGAATGCGTGCAATAGTTAAACTTAATCCTTTTTGGTTTAAATGTAAAGTAAGATGGAAGCGAAGCCTATTGTTGATACTTTACAAGTTTACACGGAAACCCTTTTTAAAGGGTATACAGAATTTTAAGCAACAAGAGTGTTCAAATTAGTTTTACACAAGTGAAATGAAAGCAACAGATGTACACTATTTTTTTGAGAAAAACTTCATCATTTTTGTCATACTTCAGAGGGGCGTTTCCTTTAGTTTGACAAGTAAGTACTTTGTCAATTACTTTGAAGTATGAGAATGTGCTGAAGAGTTTAATTTTACTTGGCAAACTATGCAACTAAGGAAACGATCCGTATTACTCCTTTACTTTCTGTTCTAATTTCCCTTCTGAGGACCAAGCTGTTACAAGGATTGTCAAAGATAGTAACAAAGTAAATCTCCAAAAAAGTAAGCACTCCCAATCACCTTTGGTTGAAAAGAGTTAAGACAGGGAAGACAAAAACTTTAGAAACAAGAAATAAAATTACGAGCAGATTAGTTTTGAGTGTTTCTCTGTCCCATTTGGCTTGTTTTTATATAGGACATTTTTCCAACTAATAATACATGACCAAATCTATGCTAAGATCATTTGTTGGGAAAATGTCTTCATTTTTCTATGAACAATATTATATATAGGCATGTGAAGAAGACTCAAATCTTTTTATTTCATTATCTTCTGCTTTATACTACTTTTGCTACAAAGTAAGTCGAAAAATCAATATAGAGCTAACTAGCTCAAAATACGTGTCACAGAAGCCATTGTAGAGTAAAAATTAATCCAAGTTGAAGAGAACAAGAGGAATGAAGAAGAAGATCATTTAAGTGCATGTCATTCATCTGTTATAGCTCAACCAAATTCTCCTCGAAAAATAGCAATAATGATAAGTTATGCGTCTTTTGTTTTGATGATTTGACAAACTTCATGAGAGAATAAGATAAGGAACCTGATACAATTAGTTCCCTTGCGTTCAGAGTAACTAGTCAGATGTCTGGTTCAATTCTCAATTAAATTAGATAAGAAAACAGCAGAGGGAACATATGGGGATCAGTTCCCCTAGTCGTCGTACAGTCAACTCTACAGTTGTAAAAGCTGTTGCATTGTACTGTCTGGCATGCTGCTGCACTGTACCGTCTGGCAGCAGTACAGCAGCACAGCTATAGCTTGCTAAGGCCAAACTAAAGGACACTTTATTGCATCATCCTTGATGATACCATACACTCATATTATCAACATGAGGCAAGGGATTTCATCTATCTAATAATTGCAAATCAAAAGATAATATTCTCTCAAGTGCTAGTCACCACCTCTCTCAAGAATAAAGTGTTACACCCCGCAATATTACGATGATGTTACATTCTGCAGTATTATATTAAGATGATGTTACGCTTCGCAATATTAAGTTATGACAATGTTGCACCCTGCAGTATTACATTACGATAATGTTACGCTTCGCAGTATTAAGTTACGACGATATTGCACCATGTAGTATTGTACGTTGAATGTGTGGTATTAAGTTACGACGATATTGCACCATGTAGTATTGTACGTTGAATTTGTCGTAAGGTAATTGACATCAGTCCAAGTAAAAGATTATTTGGAGATTATAAGGTTTATGCTATTTCACAAGTAATGAGTAAATTCGTGAAAGTAAAAGGGAAAGCAAGTCAAAGAAAATGAATTTTCGTCGAAGTTTGGCATTTTGGGGTAAAATACGGCCTGAGCTAAAATACCTGGTATTTATAGACTAGTGTCATACAAGGTACCACTTGGCCATGATAGTATGATGTATGAGGTGTATAAGGCGTGTTAAAAGTAAGTAATATTTTAAGTAAGTTGAGATAATTCTTCATTATGTGGATAATTGGGTAATTATTACTTTTAGTGGGAGGTTAACAACTAATTAATGAATTAGTGGTTAAATAATTCAAGATCTTGGATAAGGTTTAAAGGCCCCAACGTGGCAGCCAAGAAACATTCTTAAATATGACTCTTAAAGAATCATATGGATTAGTCATCCCATCAAGTGGAGCCCACCAAAAGGTTAAATAACCTTTCTAATTTACAATTGCATTTCTCATCTCTTAAGAACAAGCCTCTGCCAAGATAAACTTTATAGTATCAATGTTATCAATTGTTCATATCTTAAGCAAAAGCTTCAGCAAGGATAAATTTTGCAATGGCAACATTATTGCTTCAAGAATTTCATACGAATACTATTTAATATTATAGCAACGTGGGATTTGCGATTCTAAGGGAGTACGGTGTAATCTTTCTCAAATATATTATATGGGTTTTTCCCTATTCCAGGTATGTTAAAGATATCCCTTCTTTCTTTTGGCATGATCTATACGACACAAATAAAACGAGCAAATGCACAAATTCCATAAATGACTCTATTCATAGAAGTATTAGAGATATCTATGTTCTTAAATTTCCATGTGTCATAATATTCTATCATCTGTTCATGGGTTTCAGAAAAATACAAAAGTTGAAAAGAGTTTACTTTATGATATTACTCAAAGGCAAAATGGCTTTATGACATTCCGAAAGATTTTATTAACGTACTTTTCATGCATTGCATTCATGTATATTGATCCATGACCAAATGACATTATATAAGTATATATATGTATGTATATATATGTATATGGGATATGGGAAAGATTATGGCGTTATATACGTACCACCACCTAATCAGCTGGTATACGTTGATGATTTTGCCCACAGTGGCAAAGATGATATGATGGGATGCCCTCAGAGGCTGATGATGTTATGAAATATGTACCTATGCATGACATGACATTCATACGCATATATATGATACTATAATTATTTCATGATTTACAAAGTTATTCTGACTTACAAGTGGAGTCATTTACTCTATATTTCCTCTATGTCTTTTATGTACTTATTTATGTGCCTTACATACTCAGTACATTATTCGTATTGACGTCCTTTTTTTCCTGGGGATGCTGCGTTTCATGCCCGCAAGTCCCGATAGACAGGTCGAGAGCCCTCCAAGTAG